TTGGGCAACAGCCTCGAACCCGTGAATCACTTCAAGACTTCAAGACTTCAAGACAACTGACCTTGAAAATCAAAGTTTCCGTTGTTTTCCGCACATACACCAGGTGCGCTGTCGTCATTTCGGTGCTTCTTTGTCTCTCGCAGCTTGTACACTTCCGCCTTTCTAATGGGAGTTCATCAGCTTAGCAAAGTTATCGGTGATAATGCACCAAAAGCGATTAAATCATCTGAGATCAAATCATATTTTGGTTAGTTTATTTTGTTGGTTAATCAAAACAATTGTCTTTTCAGGCAGAAAAGTTGCTATTGACGCATCAATGTCAATCTATCAATTTCTTATTGCAGTACGACAAGAGGGAAATATGCTGACCAATTCAGAAGGAGAATCTACCAGGTAAGATCTTGTGTGATGAAAAATAGTTTGAACGCCACAGCTTCCGTTCATGTCAAGTTCGGTCGCTGAAGACTCATTTCACCTCTTGACAAGAGAGATATGAGAGGTAAGACACCACAGGGCATATTTCCGTAAACAGCAAAAAAGCGAGCAAACCGTAGTTTGGAGGCTTTTCCTGCTTCAAGCTCCTCAGTTGTTTGACAATAACCAGATTTCGCGAAAGATATATATATATATATATATATATATATATATATATATCATGCGTCAGACGCCAAACTGTGCCAAACAAATTATGGAACAATAATCTTCCGGATGTGATTTCCGCTAGTTAGGCAAGGTAGCAGGAACTACAGTTCCAAGCTATCTAGTGACGCTACGGGACCGAAACGACAGTATAGCTTACCAAGTGTATTTCTTACCCGTCGATCATATGTGTTGTGGTGTTATGTGCGGTGTAAAACTGAACCTGACTGATTGATCCGGACGGTAATTATGACTACAAATCCACGGGCCCACGAACGTCTCTTTGCATACCTAGCGAGGCGCACAAATGTCAGAGCTGGTATTCCGGAATTGATCGATGTAATGGTTGGCACTGATTATAAAAGAACCGAAGCAGATCAAGCAATAATTTAGTGTCTAGACTTTTGACGTCCAAGAGTACGTACGTCGAGCAACGGACGAAGGAACGAACCTAAGAGAAAACGACAGACATTACGAAACCTCAACGACGATTGTATTGGCAGGATCTGTAGAACAGAGGGGAAGAGTCAGACATGTGTGAAATATATAGACTACGTAAGCATAGATTGTCGAAAACTGCTAGACGCAACAATAATAAAATTTAGAAAGGGTACAGATTGATGAAAAGAAAGTGGGGAGAATTCAGAGCAGAGAATGAGTGAACACTTTTTGATAGTTCCCACCTTGAAGCTTGAAGGTGTCGGTGTTTGTGGTTTGTACGCCTCTTCTTGGTTGGTTTGGAATGAGGACTTTTAGATAACTCCTCTAGGTTCACAGACGCGGTCATGGCCCCGAATATTAACTTTTCGTCCCCTCACTTTTGTGGGGAAACATCTCCGCTACGGAAATGCAGCAAGAAGGGCTTCCGAGGACATAATCAGATCTGCTTTTGTTCCCGAATTCAGCCTCGCGATAAGACCGATAGTCTACGACCGAAGAGATCCGTCGTAAACTGATGAGATAATTTTATTGGCGTACTGTCGTTTGAGTACCACGTCAAAAATGCTTTTTAAGATGTTGAAACCGCTTATTGGTGACAAATCGATTATAATTTTCGAAGCCGAATAGTCTGTCTCCATTCTTGTAACGCTGGCCCGGCTCACACCTACCTATAATGTGCTTTGTTGCCTCTTCCTGTTGTCCATTTCGAATGTTCAAGTCTCCATTTATGATAAGTGCATCGCTTTTGGCTAATTTACCCTAGTTCATTGATTAGGTGTACGTTTTATTGAAATCTACTCTTAGGCTATGAAACTCGGTGATCTTAGTCTTTGGAATTGGACTAGCAAACTCCACAGGACCCTAGTGTCATATTAAACTGGACGAAAGCCGATCTACCTAGCACCATTGTTGTTGCTAAAGACGTAATTTGATTTGATTATCAATGAATCCATCCGTTTCGAAAGTTTATTCAAATCTAACGTTTGACTAGGTTCCCAATAGCAGAAGAATCACTACAATTTCATGTGTACAAAACAAAAGCATTTGCTTTTTTTTATCCGAGTTCACGATTGATGCAAATGCTATGAATATAACGATTATATTTCGTAATTTGAGATTGATAAGCATTTCCGCTTTTGTTTTTCAATTCGATGAACTATTTCATGATAGTCATTTGATGGGGATGTTTTATCGTACAATCCGGATGATCGACAGCGGCATCAAGCCGGTCTATGTGTTTGAAGGCAAGCCACCAGCCATGAAAGCTGGCGAGCTGGCAAAACGTACCGAACGTCGTGAAGAATCATCTCGTGAGTTGGCGAAAGCGGAAGCCGAAGAAGATTTTGAGGCCATTGAAAAGTTCTCCAAGCGCCTGGTCAAGGTGACCAAACAGCACAACGACGAATGTAAAAAGCTGCTAGAATTGATGGGTGTGCCGTATATTGATGTAAGTTAAGGACTCAGTACATTCGCTTGTTATATTCAGTCCCGAAATTATCCCCTGTTTCATCCGAATCTACTAAGTGACGCACAAACAGGTGCTCAAGGCAGATGTAGTTCCGAAGTTTTTGTTGCTCGATACATGCGCCCTAATTATCATATTCAGCCACACACACACACATTTTGGCAACTTGTTTCTACATGTTTTTTTTCAATCCACACGTTTTTGCGGTGAATAACAGAAAAGGGAA